GGTGGTGGGGGTGGGGAGGGATAGATAGAAGCAGAGAAAGAGTCTTTTGTACATTTATATTTATTCTTTGGCTAAGATGACATCCCTGGCTGCGCTGCCTGGTTGAAGATCACTCCTCTTTGTAAATAACCCTTAAGATCACATAGATATTTAAAAATTGCCTTTTCTTCTCTTTTTCCCTATTTGGATTTATCTAATTGAGGGTGACTTTGTCATTTGGGCTGCTATAACAAAATGCCTTAAAGTGGAAGGCTTATCAGTAACAAAATTTATTTCTCACCGTTCTGGAGATTAAAAAGTTCAAGGCTAAGGAGACTCAGATTCAGTGTCTGGTGAGGACTCACTTCCTAGAGGGCACCTTTTTTTTCCCTTCATCCTCACATGGTGGATAGGGTGAAGGAGTTCTCTGAGGCTTCTTTTAAGGCCACCAATCCCCTTTGTAAGAACTCTATACTCATAGCCTAAAAACTTTACAAAAGAAAGTTCTAAAAACTTTCCAAACCTCCTAATGCCAGTTGCTTTGGGGGCTAAGATTTTAACATATGAACTTAGGGAGTAGGAACACAAGCATTCAAACCATAGCAGAGAAAAAGTAGTCAAAATTATTTGTCCCCAGTGTCACAGGTGCTACTCAAGCATGATGGCCCTGACTTCTGCAACCTTTAGCCCTGAGTCCCTGGAGGGAAGGATGTCTCTGATTACAACTCTTGGGCCTAAACATATGCATATGAGTGGTTTTGACTACCTAGAACTTCATCTTGTATCTCTAAATGAAAATCAAGAGTATGAATGTTACTGATGCCTATGTTCAGTGTTTTGAAATATACTGTGTCAGCTGCATAAACCATGAGACTAGCTAGCATCTGTGTTTTATTTTTAATTTGCAACAATAGACCTTATAGAGATCTTTTCTGGGCTGCTTTTGATTAGAAAGAAGAGCAAACTCACTCAAAAGTGTGGATACTGCACTTGAATTATTGAACAAGTTCTAACCATTTAGTGGAGTTTAAAAGTCTTGGGTACTTTCACCCAGAGAACTGCCCTTCACTTGCAATGCTAACAGTAATGATGTCTCAAAGGCTATTCCATGGAATTTGGAAAGCTGTCAGATCTTAAGTTTCCTAAGGGATGGCAGGCGGCCCACTTACATTTTTCCTCTTCTTTCTCTTGCAGTCCCAGCAGAAGTGCATTGTGATCTTTGCCCTGGTCTGCTGCTTTGCCATTCTAGTTGCATTGATATTTTCAGCCGTGGACATCATGGGAGAGGATGAAGATGGACTCTCAGAAAAAAATTGTCAAAATAAATGTCGGTAAGAGGTAACAAACAAAAATTCTCTTTTAGGGAGGGGGGCGAGAGAGTCAAAGAGGACCTTGGGCAGAAAAAAGAAAAAATATCATAAACACAAGTAATCATCTAACTTCTCCTTGGGTTAAACTGAAATATGACATGCCTTATGGAGGATCTTGCTTTTAGACCAAGGCAATAAATAGCAGCAATGATTTTATTCACTTTTTAGTTTGGTCATATCCTATACAGAGTAATGGTCAACCATCAATGGCACAGTATCAGCCCCATGGATCTCCTCTTTCAACTCCTCTTTGAACTGCTACTTGTTTTGTTTTAGGATAGAGGAGGATGTAGAAAAAAATACCAAGAAGAGGTAGATAGATAAGAGCTCTATTTTTAAATATGTCTTGCTGCAAATTTGAACTGAGGCCACAAAATGACAGTAATTATGAATTAGAGCTTATAATGAATTTAAATTGTGATTTTTCCCTATGGAAAGCATTAGTCTAAGTGCCCATCTTTTCTAGCTCAAAATCAACAGCAACTTGATAATGCGTAGGTGAGTTTTTATCCTGGATATTTTGCCTTGAGGTTAAATATTCTGGCATAGAAAATGTCCTGATGAAACAATTGACTTTTTTTTTTTCAACCTATGATCTGTTATAATCTAGTTACCAGGCAACAAGTATTATACACAGAACAAAGCATACAAGAAAGAAATCAGCATGCATTTTGGATTTTATTCCTTCATGTTAGAAATGTGTTCCATAAATGCATTTATTTCCCAGACTGAATTTGGGAGAAAAAAAGTGTATTGTTATTATTATAAGGAAAATAATAGAACAACAACAGACTGCTGTCATCTTCTGCTAATTCTACTTATTACATGTCAAATATAAACAGACCATAGACAAAGGGCCAATGACTCATATTTATTGAGTAGAAACATTCAGCCTCTCTCTCTCTTACTTCACCTTATAATGAAGACTTCTGGGTTTTTTTAAATGCAAACTCTAGCACCTAGAAAGCAATTTTATAGAGGTTAAACCATAAAACCTTCTTTCAGACAAAATATCTAGGAGTTTTTCAGCCCTCATTCCCATGTATTAGTAGGTTACAACAAAAAGCAGAGAGCCTGAGAATTCTATTTCTTTTCACTTTGGGGAGAGTATTGTTCCTTTGAATTTTTACTTTTAATTCATGCAACTGGAATTTGGGTTTGTTTATATCCTCTATCAACAACTAAATTCTGATGATTCAATGTTGCATCTCCCTCCGTCTAGAAATATTAGTCTAATTCCCACCATCCTCCTGCTTCGTTTCCTAGGAGTAGTTGAAATCACTATCATAGTTGCTATATGTCACCCCTGTGTACAGCCAGTTTTTTGGAGCCACCTATTTTTAAATATGTTTTGTCTTCTACATTCTCTTTTCTGTGTCCTCTATTATGGTTCTGCATTTTAAGTCATGTTAGTAAGTGCTTCAGTGCTACAGTGTTTACACTGTAGATGAAATCTGGTGGCCCCCCCTAACTTCCTCCCCTAGAGACTTCTGCTTTTCTTCCTCTTTCCAATGCATAAGATTTAGAGGTAGGATATCTATAATTTCTTATACCCCAAATCTGCTTACCGCATCATTGTTGCATCATTTATCCTGGGTCATTCTCATTTTAATTTGATGAAAAAGAATTATTTTACAGTGTTCATTCTCATTTTATCATCTTAGGCAATATCATATTCCAAATTTCAGGACTTTTTCTTATCTTCTTTTGTGTCTAACAGACCTCCCAACTGTAAGTCCCATCCCTTACCAACATCCTTAGTAACTTGAAAATATACCACCCAATATCCTAACATTATCATTTTAGCCACCTTAAATCAATAAATGTAATGTTCACCTCGACTTTGCACCTACCTGCCAGCAAACCTCCACTTCCAAGTTAAGCTAATACAGTAAACGATAGAAACTTGGAAATCAGAAAGATCCAAATTCAAATCTACATGTACCCACTTTCTATCTCTGTGAACTTGAGCAAGCTATTAATTGAATTATTTCATTCATCACCTATTTGCAGAGCACCAAAAGACTGAAGGAAGAGTCACAATACAGTTAATGAGACTCTCTGGCAATGTGCCTATTCAGAACTACAATAGCAATGTAAGAAGAGATCTGGGAGAATGTCTTGAATAGTGAAAAAAATAAACTCATCCTTGGATTTATTTCTCTGTTCCACCTTGGATGGGTTACAAAGGCTATTTAAATTTTCCTTAAAAATGATATATTTTTAAAAAATCTGTTTCACGAGGTTTAGGAGAATTCAGTGAACTTTATGAAGCCATAGCAAAGCATCAGGTGATACAACAAACAATACAGTAATGTTAATTTTCTCCCCATTTCTTCCAAAGAGTCCAGAAATCCTTCTCCCATATTCCCAACTAACTTCTCCTTCTTTGCAGTTTCCCCCTTACCCTAAATCTTTATCTTGATTTTAGTTTTTGGTTTTATAGAAATATACCAAAAAAAACAGCTACATGAAAAAAGAGGGTATTTATTTAGAGCTTGCTGTAGCAAAGGGTTCAGCCACCATCAGCTGTGTTTTGCAGAGATTCAAAGGGAGACAAAATTCCCCTAGAGGGAAGAAGGAACAGAAGTGCTCTGATAGGAGACTGTTTATATGGGAAAGCTGAAAGTGTCCAGCTGGAGGTGTAGCATTTTGTGTTATTGTTTAGGAAAAGCATATTTGGTTTAGCTTTCTTTGGTTGGAAGTAGGCATAAAAATTAGGGAATAGTAATTAGTAATCAAGTTCCTGCCATTTTGAGTCTTTTGTCATAGAAATTACTGTTTGGCTCCCTTGATTGTTACCTGAGAGAGTGACCTGACTGTCTACAAGTCTGACATAGAGCAGGCTGACTCCCAGGCTGGTGAACAGAGATAAAAGTTGATTTGTTGGGCAAGTTGCTTCTGGGTGTGGGTCAGAGTTCTGTTTTTGCATAGGATTTGGCCATTGTAGATGTATTCTTCACTTCCTGAACCTTCTCCTTATATTAGCAGTCGTTTTCATTTTAATTTTCTTTACCCATTTGCTAGACCACAATTAGCATACCCCAGTGCTTCCCACAGCATCCTGTCTAACTTAACCGTTTGACTGTTTTGCTGTAGGCTTGCTGCCAGTTATTAAACTGATCCTATGCATCCTTGTCCTCTGAGCAGCTTTGGCTATTGCTCTACAGCTTTGTCAGCCTGCAGAGGAGTGAGTTTCACTGTTCTTCAGCTCTCAGTTCTTCCAGAAGGGATACCTCTGATTAAAGTGATGAGGCTTGCAGAGATACACCCACTGAGTATACTGGGGCTGAGGTAGTCCCTTAGGAGAAAGCACTGCTGGTTTGTACATGCTCACCAGCTTGCCAGTCTCACTTGCACCATTCTGAACGAAATTCCAGCCTTTTCTCTTATTTCGGCATCCATTTCCTGCCTCTAGCCTTGCAGAGTCCCTCCTAGACATTATTTCAAGATGACACTCACATGGTGCTCATCTTCCAATGAGAACTGACTTCACTTGAATACAGCTTTCTCTCTCTGCTTGTCTGCTCCTGGTGTTATTGCCATAAAGAGTGCTGCATTCTCAGTTCACTCTTTGCTAAAATCTTATTACTTGGTAATTAAACTCCCTTCATGCTTATGGCTCTCCCCATTCCTGAAAGTTGAAAGAATATTGACGTTCTGCAACCTGTCAGCATCTTCTCACTATTTTGGCAACCTCTCCCAAGATCTCCTCCATCCATGCACTCTTTTCCAAATATATTACTTTAAGTCATCTTATTTCTATTAACTACCCTCTACCCTCTTAAGCATTTGCACTCTGAATCATACTGCCCACTCAATGTCTCCCCAGCTTTTTTATGTCTTTCTAAATAATGTTATCTCTCTATAAAATAGTCTTATGTTTTTTGATCTGACTTGTGTTATTTCTTCTCCCCTTGTCTTATTTTGCTGATATATACTGCAAGAAATGATGCACTCACAATTTTCCACCCAAATCTATAAAATATCAACTGCTTCCAACTTGTCTTTCGAGTGCCTTTTTATTTATTTTTTTAAGAGATGGGTTCTCTCTCTCTCTCTCTCTCTCTCTCTCTCTCTCTCTCTCTCTCTCTCTCTCCTCTCGCCTAGGCTGGCCCTGAACTCCTGGGCTCAAGCAGTATTCCTGCTGAGTAGCTCACTCAGCCTCCCAAGTAGCTGAGACTGCAAAGACAAACCACTGTGCCAGCCTTCAAAGTCCCTTTTAACTAGCCTCAATTGTTAAAGTCCCTTTTAATAAACCTTAATAATTTCCTTGATGTATTTCCCTTTTATCAATGTCAGTAATTATTTCTTATATAACTTTCTCAAATTTGAAGGAAAGAGAGAATGTAGGTACTTAGGTTTAAACTATACATTTTTTTCTTTTATCTACATTAACTTCCTTCCACCATGTTTATATTGACACAACCAAAAATATATTTATTTATTCATTTATTTTTTAAAGACCAGATTTTACTTTGTTGCTAAGGCTGGTCTTACACTCTGGGACTCATGCAGTCCTCCAGCTATATTAAATATAAGTGACCCATTTGATCCCTTTATTACTGCCACCCCCTCTTGTCTTTCCTCAGTTCTGAACTCCACTTCACTCTACTTTCTTCTGTTTAGAGATAACCTCATTGGAGATGGCACCAACCCTGTAGAACTCAGTTCCTCCCACTTTCTTTCCAGCTCAGAATCCCTACAAAGTGTCTTCAATCATCCTCCCCTCCTCCCATTTTTATCTTAAAGTAAGAGATAAAGCTAAGCCCTGTATCCACACAATTAATCTTAAGGAAATAAATGGAGACCAACTCCATAAGGAAAAGCAAAGGCTGTGTATTCAGAGCTTGCTACAGCAAAGGAGGCAGCTACCATCGATTGCATTTTGGCAGAGACTGGAGGGCAGGCAGCAAGTGAGAAAGATTCATAGTGGAAAAAAATACTACATGCTTTCTTTT